TGCAAACGCGGCGGCGCTGACCTCCCCGGCTCGCCCGACCCTGCTGCCGACGGGCAGCCGCGAGCCGCGCCCGCGCCAGGCCCGGGCCAAGAGGGCGGGGCGGCCGGGCGGGCGCCAGCCTCCCGCGAGGCAGGGCTGGACGGGAGCGCGACCTCCCGCAGGCGAGTTCGAAGGAGGGGGGAGGCGACGTCACGCTCTCGCAAGCGAGGGGGCGGCAGAGGGTCTGCGGGCACGTGACGGCGCCGATGGCTCTGGGCTCCGCGCCCGCCCGAGTGCGCATGGGCTCGCCCTGAAAGCGCGGAGAAGCGCTGGGTCTGTCTCCGTCTTTGCGGTAGAGTAGGAAGTGGCTTCTTCGGGGGAGACGTAAGGAGGAAGACGCTTCTCCGGGTAAGGCAGGAGGGGGACCGCTCCAGGCGTCTCTGTTCCCTTCTTTCCGCAGACTCGGCGGAGTCTGAGATCCTTTAGGTGTCTCCTTCACCCAGCGCTCTAAGCCGTCGTGTGGTTCGCTTTTTGTCCAGCACGAATGCTGTGTGGGGATCAGGAGACTATGGCTTATTCAACAAGCCATGGTTTGAAAAACCCTCCTCCTTGTGACGTGTGATCCCGTTCACTTACTTGGCTATTTAGGGATTAATGGAGCACGTTTAAAGCATTCCAGTTTGAGAAAAGCTGATTTGTTACAGAATCATAAGTATCACGTTAAAAATAGTGTTTCAGGAAGGAGTATCAAAAATTCATTGCCAGTTTTCTCGCCTGAAGGTGAAACCCAGGTTCAAAGTGTCCCTTTTTTAAATTGTTTTTCTATGAAGGTACGTGACCCAAATAAGATTATTCTCTCCCCTCCTAATATTAATATTTTCGGAAATTATTGACCCACTTTCCTCAGCTTTAGTTGAGAACTGAAAAAATAACTCTAAAGCTGTCAACCTTTGAACTGACAAAGTGTTGTGAGTATATGGATTGTGCTTATGCCACTGGGGAACCTGAAATAAAAAATGGGTCATATAGATAAACCACAACACTTTGGTTTTTACACAAGCCATAAGCCATGATTTACAAATTCCAATGAGTGGAGCAAGTAATATGCTAAGTCAAAGCTAGGCAAACTGCATGGATGCTTCTTTGGCCCATTTCCTCACTAGTGATTTATAGCATCTGCTGGTGTGACCCGATCGTCACTGTGACAATAGAAGGCCTGCTATCTCTGTTCAGTGATGTTGGATGAAGGTAGAAGATGTTACAGATCAATAATGATGAAATATCCTTAATTTATGAGCCTAATCAAAGGCTACTGTAGGAGTTCTTGCTTGTACTAGACATAAAGTTGGGAGAGGTGGCTAATACTTCAGAAGACAGGGAGTAGTTTAAAAAAAAGGGCTTCAGAAATTGACTAAAATGAACAGGGTGGAATTTAATAGGGAGATATGTAAAGTTCTGCATCTGGGTAAGAAAAATGTGAGATGTGAGCCAGCAGTGCGATACAGCTACTAAAAAGGCAAATACTATCTTGAGGTGCATTAACAGGAACGTAGAATCTAGCTTATGGAAAGTAATTGTGCCACTCTACTCTGCCCTGGTCAAACCTCACCCACACAGAATACTGGTTCTGGGCATTAGAGTTCAGAAAGGGCACTGACAAATTGGAGTGAGTTCAGAGGAGGGTAACCAAAAGGGTAAAGGGGCTAGAAAAAAGCCCTATCAGGAACAGTTAAAGGCCCTGGGTATGTTTAGACAATAGAAGATATTGACATGAAATATATAGCCATCTTTAAATATCTGTCATGTAAAAGAGGGAATGGACTTACTCTTTGTGGCCCCAGAGAACAGGTCCAAAACCAGTAGGTTAAAACTATAAAGAAGCAGATTCAAGGTAGACATCAGGAAGAACTTTCTGATGTACAAGCTGTCAGCTGGTGAAGCAGGTTGGCACATGAAGAGATGAACTCTTCCCTGGAGATTTTCAGAGTCTAGATGTAGCCTCCAGAAATGCTTAAGTCAGTGTTTCTCAACCTTGGTAGCTTTAAAATGTGTGGACTTCAACTCCCAGAATTCCCCAGCCAGCATTAACAACACGGGCTTAAGCGGAGCTTGCACTGAGCAGGGAGTTGAACTAAATGACCTTTAGAATATCTTCCAATGTTATGATTCTATGAAAAGCCTACAACCACTAAATCAAGAAAAAATGCAATATCCAAGCATTCTTAATTGTGAGCTCTTATTGGATTAGAAATATAAAAGCTGACTAAAATTCCAAGTAAGTGTTGGAATGAAAATGTCTTCTATCCCAGAACTGAGATTGTTGTAGGAACTTGGCAGTTTTCAAAAATGGTATCTATACTTGTTTTCCCTTTTCTCCCCATTCATGTCCCGGTCTTTGGAGTTATAAACCTGCAGGCAAGAATTACATTATTTGTTGACCTCAGTGAAGCCATTTCAGAAGTTCTATTTAGAGTTAAAACATTTTAAATATGACCAATACCAGCCTCTACAATAGTTCCTTTAATTCGTAAGCATAACCTCAGACTGACATAGAAGTGCACTAACAGCACAGAACACTCTTGAACAAGTCTAACATGTAATATCTTTCCAATATCTAGCAGGATAAACTTATTTCAAAAATTCTTCATAAAGTAATGCTGGAATATTTTCGACTCCCTGCCAAGAAGATAGGATATAGAATAGCAAATACAATAAATAATAAATAGTGCCTGAATAAATTGTTTCTAAAAGTGTTGTTAGTAATAGTTGGCCTGCATTTTTTGCATGAAAAGCAGTATATAAATGAACATTTTGCCTGTATGTTGTCAGTCATTCATCAGACTTCTAAGAGGCAGCATCATCCTGGAACCTGAATTCTAACACACAGAATACAAGATAGCAGAGCATATGTGGGGCCCAGTGGTAGCGTAGTATATATTTCTGTCCTCACATTATAGGGGTAGTTGCAGATGTGAGTTAGGCATAAGGGAACAAAAGACAGACTAGCCATAAGAAAAATTAGGAACAGAATTGGAAAGCCTCACCATTGAAGTGACCAAGGTAGAAAGTCAGAGAATGAATCATCAGATATCTCAAATATAAACTAGATTTTAAGGGCCACCCAAGGCTGGCTTGTTTGCTTGCTTGCTTTGGCATTTAATCTATGTTGCCCAACTGGAACAAAGTATTACAATACAGAGATTACAGCCTCGATCCATGGGCCAGCTTTGGTTTTTGCAATATGAATACAACTAGGTTCATATAACAGACTGCATCAGAAACAAACAGACCATATTATGGCGTAAGACAATCTGTAAACCCATCCTGTGTGTTGAAACTATAAGACCAAGGGGTACATACCTGCCATGAGAAGATCCTTTGCACACTTCCAATAGCCTTAACTGAGCCTAGTAGGATTTGTCTTTCATTAAAGATGATAGGATTGCTGTCTGGTGGAATATTTCCTAGGGGTATCTGATTGAACATGGAGAAACAAAGACTTGTTTTAGTGAAGATGGAACATGCTTGGGCTTGTTAATGCTGTCACTTGAAGAAATTATTTCCAGTCAATGCTGACTTTTGGCTTTAGGCAAGCTAAGATAGAAACACATTTGTTCCTTGCTATTTAAATATCAAAAGAATTATAGTTTTAAACGAAATGTTAAAATATCCAGATCAAAATACACAAGTTGTTCAGCAATGGAAAAAATCGCCTCCAAATAGAAACAGTGATAAAGATAATATTGTTTAAATTGAATGTGATTCCTAGGTACTTCATGAACATGTTTAAAGTTAGCTTGGCAAGAATGTGAAAAAGTAGTTTGCTACCATCATCATCTGTTTTTGTTTGTTTCAGTCTAGTCTTCCTACTGGTCTCCCTTTCACATACAACCAGTCTAATCCCTTTAAGTTTTTGAGAAGGATAGCTGCCTTGGGCTTTTTAAGAAGACTATTAGTTTCCTATAGGGGTGCTATAAAACACTGGAAGACTGTTGGAATAGTTCAGTATTGACATCAGGATCTACTTGGATCTGTAGATTTATGATTTGATATGGTTGATATGTGTAGTTTTTGTGCTGTATTAGAATCCCTGTTCTGTAATAGGAAGTGTGTGTGTGTGTGTGTGTGTGTGTGTGTATAAGAGGTAGGTAGGTATATATTTCGATATTGCAGAGAGCAGGAATCTCTCCTGCTCTGGCTATGATTAATCAGCATTAGAGGGTCTAATAACCCACTGGATTCACACATTACATTTTCTTGTTTTTGTTTCTTTGAACAAAAATGTACAAATATAAAAACCAATTTACATGTTGTTTAATGCTGTGTGAATAACATATATACTATGACATTAAAAAGAAAGGGAAAACAAAATAAATGGCTGGGTTTTTTTTAATATATATATATAAACTGGAGAAAGAAAAAAAGGAAATTTGACCAGATTGCTTGAAAGACATCTTTCTTGTCCCTGTGTCCAAACAATGGATTGTTTTAACAATGGTTTGCTGATTAAGCAAAAAAGGAGTGGAATTCTAAGTGCTAGTGAAGAATATTTATTAATCAAGCCTGACGCATTTCAGCTACATGCCTTTTCAAAGGGCGCTTTGTAAAGGTGGTAGAGATCTATCTCACTGATACCTCTAGTTCACAAAGGGCCCTCCAAAAATTCAAAATTTGTCAGGCTTGATTGCCTTCATCCTCTCCTCTCTTTTTTCCTCTTGCCCTCTCTTCCTTGTTTTTACTGAGCAAGCTACAGTGCCTGGATTGACCCATAAACTCAATCCATCCAAACCTTAGCAAAAGGTTTAAACCAAGGGCTTTGCCTTGTTTTGGCTTAGTCTGACCAATAGTGATTTCTGGCTAACCCTGAACCAGCCCCTCTAGCGCATTCAGCAACTACTGGCTTGCGACGCGGGCCAGTGGGTGGAACAAGAGTGGAGAAGCTCCCTCCACTGCGCCGACAGGGGCGCTCTGAGCACAGGGGCTGGAGGGACTCGCTTGGGTACTTGCCGGGCCGCTAGTCCTGGGTTGCTATGGCGACGGCCTGGGAGAGGCCTCCGGAGCGCTGGGGGCGCTGTGTGCAAATGGGGAAACGCAGCCGGGCCCGAGGCTTGGGGGGCGGGGTAGCGCTGCTTCTCGTTCGTTGGCGTGTGTGACCAGAAGCGGCGAACCGGAGGGGGAGGACGGAGAGCGGCGGAGCGGGTCGAGGGCGGGCGGCCCGGACCCTGCTGCTGCTGCTGCTTCCTCACTCGGGAGGACCCGAAGAGGAGGCCCGAGGGCTGATATGTCTGACAACGGCTTTGACCGGGCTCCCGGCGCTGGTCGAGGCCGAGGGGGTGGTGCCCCTTTGGCCCCGGAAAGCGGGGCTCGCTTGGGAATCGGCGGCGGCGGCGGGTGTCTGGGGGCCCCCG